CTACAGATAGATGTTAAGGACATCTGCAAATCTTTCAGCAATGTAAGTATGCTTTATGTTCCTCCAGTCACTTGCAAAGGGTAAGTTATTTGACTGCTATTTTTAGACAAAATATATTCTTGGAAGCACTCTATTTTAATAGATCATTGTAAAGCAAAATACTCCCTCTGAACTTCTTTGATGTTTCTTTTGTCTTTCTAAGTCTGTCATTGTCAGAAATAGTAGAGTGAGTTGATGCATTTTGTGAATACAAAATCACTGGGGTCATTGTATGATAGAATCATTTAATACAATGTCAAAAGTTGGAAGTGCTGTTCACCTCTTTGTTTCAGAGTGTTTTGCTATGATTTTTGACTGAAGGTGAAGGTAAATGTGTGTGATTAGAAATTTCATCCAATAAGTCCTCTACTGCAGTAGTCATGTGTTTTATTCAGAATCGTCATGAAAATTGAACTTCTCTGAAGATTCATTTGATGGCTGATATGACAGAAATATTTGTGGGTTCAGGAGAAGCATATATGCATGAAAGAAAGAAGTAATCAGTCGGGGCCCAATTGGTGGTTAACATAATTCTTCTGGATTCTGAACAAAGTCACTGTCTGTGGTCAAGATTGCTGGAGAATGGAAGAAATTCTTTTTTCAGGAGTTGCTGAATGTCCTGATTCTAACTTTGTGGTACTTCATCTTTCCGTATTGGTAATACCAGCAGTTACAAACTGGATTGGGCATCAGAATTGCCTAGGGTGACACTGATAATACAGATTTCTAGGGTTGATCACAGGACTGCTGAATCAGAATCCTCATGGTAAGAGCTTTACAGGTGACCCTGAAGTCCTTAACCGGGTATTGGCCTCAAGGTGGACATGGGGGAGTGATAAATTGTTCAAGCATCAGTTTAAATTAGCAGAGGTTCAAGTTTGGAGCTTCTATATATTACCTGTGGGACTCTGAGAATGAATTTGGAATTCTCTGGCCTCAGTTTCTTCATTTTTAAAACAGGGCAAATGAATGTGCTCAATGTGTTGAAGTGAGGATGAACTGTGATTTGTGTACCAATTGCCTGGGTTATTGCATAGCACATCATAGGCCATCTATAAGTGGCTGCTATAACAATCACCATCACATTTATGTACAAAATTCAGAAATATTGAATCTATGTGTGGCAAATATAAACATTAAAAAATACAATGAAAATATCAGTCTGAATCATACATAATATTTGGAGCAAATAGCGACTTATTTTGCTGCTATTTGCATTTCCTTTCCCAGTTCTCAAAAGTCTATGGTCCTGTGTTCACCGTGTATTTTGGCATGAATCCTGTAGTGGTGTTGCATGGATATGAGACAGTGAAGGAAGCCCTGATTGATAATGCAGAGGAGTTTTCTGGAAGAGGCATTTTGCCAATATCTGAAAGAATTACTAAGGGACTTGGTAGGTGTGCATATACCTGTGTCAGCTTTGGTAACTGGGGTGAGGAAGATGGAAAACAGAGCCCTAAAAAGCTTCTCAGCAGAGCTTAGCCTATCTGCCTGGCTGCCAAGTGTTGCAGTGCTTTCTTCCTTGGTTGTGAATTCTCCCAGTTTCTGCCCCCCTTTTTTGTTAGGAATCATTTCCAGCAGTGGAAAGAGATGGAAGGAGACCCGTCGTTTCTCTCTCACAACCTTGCGGAATTTTGGGATGGGGAAGAGGAGCATTGAGGACCGTGTTCAAGAGGAAGCCCGCTGCCTTGTGGAGGAGTTGAGAAAAAGCAATGGTGGGTGACTCTACTCTGCATCACTGACCTTAACAGTTAGCTGTCTTCACTAATGACATCCTTGGAAACATTTCAGGGGTGGCCAGATCTTCATTGTGCATCCTGGTTGTCAGCCCTCAGGTGGTGGAGGGAGGTTTGAAGCACAGACAAGGGAGATTTTGTGTACCTGTGCTTTACCTGTATAAATGTGTTGGTTCATAGGGTATAGGAATCAAAGGTCATTTAATCCTATTTTCTGCTCAATTTTGTTTCCTTGTTTTCAAATCAGAAATAATAAATAAGGGTCTTGAGTTCATTTTTTGAAAAGAGTTAAAGAAGAAGGTTTCCCCCATAGCATAAATCTGCATTACCTTCACCAGAACATTTCTCTAGAGAACACAAGGAAAGTGGACATGGTGAAAATGACCTTATCACACCCTATGGAACATGAACCAGGTGACATGTGCTTTCATTTAATTAGTTTTTTCATATAGTCAGACTCACATGTCCGGGAATTCCTTCCAGGTCCATGCCTACAGCTCTGGCCAGCAATGACACTATGTATGGTTTCACTTTCTTAGGTATATCTCAGTACAGTTTTCATCAGTTGTTATTTCTCAGGAAACATGGTACTATTTGAAAACTGTCAGGATTAATTATTTCTTGTTAACCACTACTTACTGTAACAATTTATATATTTTGAGTAAATATAATCTACAGTATAACTCAGCAAAATACACAAACACTAATTTATAAATAATTTAACTAGATTTTAACTATTATGAAAAACTCTTTATCTTATCTTCCTTAAATGTAATTTGGCTATGTTTTCAGTTTTGTCATCTTTTTTCCCCTGTATTGGATCTTAGCTTTGAAATTTGTGTGAATCATTTTTCTCCCACTGCCAGTTTACTCACCTATGAAGTGCTTGTTATAATCAATGTGATTATCAGCTGGGATATAAAATTACCTTTTTAAATTCACTCTCCCAAATGCAGTAAAAAAAAAAAAAAAAAACAACCTGGATATCAGATTGTACCTGAGAATCTCTCTTTCTCTCTCTCTCACACACACACACACACACACTCTCACCAAAGCTTCCCAAATTACCTTTCACCCCCTTGGCTAAAACAACAGTTTTTCTGAAACTTTAGAGCCCAGTAATATTTAAAGGAGTCTGGCATAGAAGCTGCTAACTCAGCAGGTTTCCTGTTGTTCAATGTTCCAACTTTATTCAGAACCCTTTCCTTTCATGTCACTCTTATTTAGGACCTATCGATGTGAATTTGGGCACCCTTTCCATTTATGTTCACTAGTCACTTGGTTACAGCAATTTCATTTTAGAGATTCCTGCACCAAAAAAAAAAAAAGCCTTTTAAATAATTTATTTACCTGTAAAATGACAGATTTGCCCTCACTTATGGTCAAATTTAAAACTTTATTAAAACATACTTATCTTGATGACTATACTGAATAACATCCCAGAATCCACAAGAGTAGTTTTGCCCAAATGAATTAAATTTGGAAGATGACTGGAAATGATAAACATTATTTCCAAAGGAAGGACATTCATTTTTTACAAATTGAAAAAGAAATAAAAAGATTCCATTTATCAATTTACTTTTTGGTTAGCTTTACTGGGATTTAGATTTGAAATAAAAAGTTAATGTTTTACTTATTTAATCTGTTATACTTAATGCTCATTTATATTAGTGTTTCTTCTATGCCATATGGATGTACCTGCTTTTCACATTTGTTCCCTCAGACACATGCATTCACCCACAATCTCCCTAACTTTAATTTCTGTTGGTTCAGCACACTATACTTTCAGCTATTCACTGTATGTAAGACATTTCTAGGTCCCCAACTTATCTCTTCCTATCTCTGTGTTTACTGTCCAGAGGCTTTGCAGACAGACATGATTCTGCTCCAAAAACTTGAATTATTAGGATTTCGAAAAAGTCGTCTTTTTCCTTCCAAAATAAAAGATACCTTGGGTTAAAAGAGTTTAAGTAAAGGCAGTGGATGTGAATTACCACATGCGAAATGACATTGTTTAGCTAGACTGTAATGCTCAACTCATATTTAAGGTAAAAGTAATGTGTTTATTTCATGCATGCTGATTTTTTTGGACACATGGGGAATTTGTAAGATATTGTTTAAAATTTCTAAATTTTCTTTATGTCTTAACAAATGCAGATCTTTTAAATGTTTATTTTTAAATAATATTTTAAAATATTTTTAAATCTTTAGCCTCACCCTGTGATCCCACTTTCATCCTGGGCTGTGCTCCCTGCAATGTGATCTGCTCCGTTGTTTTCCAGAAACGATTTGATTATAAAGATGAGAATTTTCTCACCCTGATGAAAAGATTCAATGAAAACTTCAGGATTCTGACCTCCCCATGGATCCAGGTAAGGCCAAGATTTTATCTTCCTGGGAAACTATTTATGCTATGTTTTCTGGTAAGTCCAAAGTTCTATATGAAGTGCATGTTTGAACACCACAGTACTGCAGAAATTTATGAAGTGAACATCTGGGAAAGATGACCAAGTCTTTTATTTTACACACAGAAAATGAATGCCCAAATACTGGGGTGGCTTTCAAGCCCAATGGCTTCCTGACCAGTGGTTTATCCACTAAATCCCAAAGCCTGTTTCAATAAAGTGCTTTGGTGACAGCCCAAAAACACGTCCATATCACTCCATGGACATCCGGGCCCTTTCTGAAGGTTTTCATTACTCAATAGGCTTATCCTCCAATCAACGCTTACTGACCTCTTCCTCACATTACTTGGCAGAAATATTCTAATTTAGGGAAAGACTATCTCCATCAAGGAGGGAGAATATTTGTGACCATATAAGGTGCCAGGAAACACTGAGTAGGGCAGGTGTGTTTGATGCTGTAGCTGAGACCCTGGCTGATGAGGCAGCTAGGTTAGGAATGACAAAAATGGTTGGTTTCATGCTGTATGAACCATAAACAAACATTCAAATTTTACCCTGTGCTGAGTTGGCATGCCCTACACTCTGCCTAAATAATAATTGTGTGATCTTAGAGAAATCACTTAACTGCTCAGGTGCACAGCTGGGTTTTAAGGTATCTTCGAGCTGCTCGCACTTCTAAAATACTGATTCCATTTTTGAAGCTACTTGACAGAAATAAAAACAGTGGGTTCTAGCTTTGTGCTCTCTATCAGGTTGCCCAAACCCCCTTAACCTCTAGCGTCATCAACTAAATATAAATCATAGTAATTCATGCCATCTTATATTTCAAGGTTGTAGGGACGACTTGGTTTAACAATGAGAAAATTGATATTAAAATGCTTTTATACAATAAAAATGATGTATGGGTGAAGAAAATAATTATCATCTTTGATTTCCTGTTCAAAATTTTCTCCTTCCAATCTTTAGGTACAGAAAATTGCTACACGTGCACAATAAAAATTTCCCCATCAAAATGTACATAATATTTTATTCATATTTATAGCTATAATTTCAATCAAGGCTTGGTGTAAGACACATATGTCTTATGACATGTTTATATTTAATATTCTTTTCTCTTTTAGGTCTGCAATAATTTCCCTCTACTCATTGATTGTTTCCCAGGAACTCACAACAAATTGCTTAAAAATGTTGCTCTTACAAAAAGTTACATTAGGGAGAAAGTAAAAGAACACCAAGCATCACTGGATGTTAACAATCCTCGGGACTTTATCGATTGCTTCCTGATCAAAATGGAGCGGGTAAGATATTAGCAACAGATCAGTAATTTGATTTCTTGTCCATTTTGTGATTCATCGAATCCTTCTGTAATTTACTAAGGATGTTTAAATGATCAGGCCAGTAATGCTTGACAAGCACCTTAATTACTTATTGTATTTATGGGCCTGCACTAAACGTCATGGAAAATACAAAATTGTCCAATAGCTAGAATGCATAGACTCTCTTCTTGAAATAAAAATAATCTACGTGAGTAGAGTAATATAGACACTGCAGTCAAATGGAAACAATTACAAATAAGTAGAAAATATAAAATATCCTACCATAAACTGAAGATGGATATCAGTATTGCACACAGATTATGTGACAATGGAAAAGAATGGCTTATCATAAATGGGCTTCCTGCATGCCCTGCATATTGAAATAGCCCTTAAAATATTTGCAGTGTGGAACAGAAGAAAAGTTTCAGATGGACTGAGTAGATTGTGGAGAGGTGTGTGATGGGAAAGAGTTGGTGGATGGAAGAGAGAAGGTTTAATTTGGTGTAACCTAAAATGAATTTGCACAAAGGAGTTGGAGGTTGATGTTTATCAGGTAGCCTGTGAGCGTGAATCCTGTTTTCATTGCACTACTTACTGAAAAAGCATATTTTTTCCTATTGAATTGTCTTGACGACCTCATTATAAACCAGTTAAGTATAAATGTGAGGATTTGTTTGTGGGCTCTCAATTCTACTCCATGGATCTGTCTGTCCCTCTGACAGTAGTACCTCATTTTGAAGTCTTAATTACTGTAACTTTGTATCAAATTTTCAAATAAAAAAGTGTGAGTCCTCAAAGCTTTTTTCAAGACTATTTGGGCTTTTGGGGGTTCATTCAGTCTCAACATAAATTTAAGAATAAACTTGGCAATTTCTGCAAACAAGCCCATAGGGATTTTAACAGATTGCATTAAATCTATAGATTAATTCAAAAAATTATGACATTTTAAATATTGAGATGAAATTCATGTACCATTATCACCCAATTTAAAGTGTACACTTTAATGGTATTAGTTTAATTACAATATTGTGCAACTGTGGTAAGAGGCGGGAAACTCCAGAAGTGGGACTTGGACACGGGACCAGATTGATGGCTAGCTAAAACAGGGCCAGGACAAAAGCAGCTTTCAGTCAGTCCCGCCCACCAGTGTGCTGTGTTAATTTACTATTCCCATGGCAACACCCAGGAGTTACCTCCCCTTTCCATGGCACCCAATGACCCAAAAGATAGGACCCCTTCCCTTCACAAACTGTCCATTAATATGCATGCAATTAAAAGTGGGTATAAAAATGACTGCAAAACTGCCCTGAGCTGCTACTCTCTGCCTATACCATAGCCCTGCTCTGCAGTAGCCCTCACAGAGCTGTACCACTGC